CATGCTTGGCTCACTCCCTTCTGGAACACAAAGGCACTGTGGATGCGCCCGCATCACGGTGGGGTGGACGCCACCACCTCTCTGGGGAGCGGGGCCTGAGGCAGGCCTGTGTCTACCCTTGCTCACTTTCTGATTAGGAGGCAAATAACGTGCTGAAAAGAGCATCTGGAAAGAACGCCCCAAAGGGACAAGACTGTCAAAAACGAGTCGGTAGTCCCAGCTGAGAAGGGACAAGAGACGGCGACTGGGGCAGGCCCAGGACCCACGGCCCGGGAGGGGACAGGCTGCAGCCGACCTCCTGGGTCCAGCACTGTCCTCCGACCTGCAGGTCCTGGCCCCTGAGAAGGCCCCTTCAGAGGACGTCACCATCGTTCGCAGAGAAGGAAGTCGGGAACAACCCACAGGGGAAGGACTGGCTTAGCAGTCCTTAAACAACGCGCTGCACTTGCAATTAGAAGAACGACACTTTGGCCAGGCGTGGTGGCACTTTGGGAGGCCAAGGCAAGATTATCTGAGCTCAGGGACTCGAGACCAGTCTGGGCAACTGGGTGAGACCTCGTCTTTATAGTAAGTCCCAAAATAAGCTGGGCATGGTCGCGTGTGCCTATAGTTCCAGCTACCGGGAAGGCTGAGGCAGAGGAATCGCCGGAGCCCAGCAGGTTGAGGCTGTGGCGGCCGTGACCGTGTCACTGCACTCCAGCCCGGGCGACAGAGAAACTCCAACTCAAAAAACCCCAAACAGCTCTTTTCTTCTTCCTCCAGGAAATGATTCTAAGGTTCAAAACCACGGCTGTGAGTGATGTCGGGCAGCAAGAGTTAAGACACGCCACGCAGTTACGTTCGCGCAAAGCTATGCGTAGGGAGCCTGCAGGACGCAGACGCAGACGCTGCCCCAGGAGAGGAGCCGTGTGGGAGGCAGGAGGGCTGGAGCAGACCCTGGGGCCCCGCCAGCAGCTGTGGATGTGGTGCTGTGTGTGAACGCACGCACGGGGCACGTTCCTTATGCCACACCCACGTGGATGTGGGTATGTCGCAACTACACTGCACGCCGCACGCCTGGGATGCTTCTTAACGCCAGAAGAAAAAAACACCCGCTGCTCCCGGGAAAAGAAAACAAACGAGAGGGGTCTGAACCTGTGGGCCCTCCACCCGCCACCCTCACCCTGCGATGTCTGTGCGTGCCAGGCCTCCCCCTTGTCCTCCGCCCCCTCCCCCCGTCCTCGCCGGGCACCGGGCCCCCGGCCTGCGCTGGAAGCCAGTCCTGCCTGCCCTCACCGGATGATGTCTGTGTACTCGCGGTCCTTGCCCTGGCTCTCCTTCCACTTCCTGTACATCACCGAGGCATCCACGTTGGCCGGCGAGAAGGTGTTGGGCTCGTTGAGGAGGGAGATCACGCTCAGGAGGATGGTCCTGGGGGAGACCGGGTCAGCTGGAGGGGCCTGCGTGGGCTGGAATCCCCCTGGGGCTCTTCTAGCCGCGAGGGGCACACCCCGAAACCCACCACCCCGCCAGCCTCTCACAGCTTCTGCCTGTTTCCAGGCCCCGGACAGCGGGGGCTGCCCTGGCAACAGCCTCCCCCTCCTCTCGGCCCCCGTGCCAAGACCAGCAAGGGCAGCCAAGGCCGGGACCCGGGCCCTCACCCTGTGCCCGCCTGGGCTGTACCCAAGGACACACAGGCCACGAGGCCAAGTGCCTGCACCCCGGGGGCACCCGCAGCGGGAGGCACCCCCAGAGTCGGGCGAGGAAGGAGGCCCGACGGTGGACGAGTCCTGGGACTCAGGCCGCCCGGTGGGAGCAGGAGGCCGCCCCAGGCCCGGGCATCCCTCTCCAGCTCGCCCCGGCAGCCGCCTACCTGACGTTCTGGGTGGGGTTCCACCGCTCTGAGGGCAGCTCCCCACTCTGAGGGTCGTCGACCGGGGGATGGAGGATGGAGATGCACACGTCCCCTGTCTGTGCGAGGGGGACAGGGCAGGTCGGCGCTAGCTCCCGTCCTCCCGGGCCACGGCCCCCACGGTCCCAGACAGGACCTGAGGTCGTGGGGCTGCCCGGCTCACCTCATAGATGTTAGGGTGCCACATCTTGGTCAGGAAGCGGAAGGCGGGTGGGGAGTACGGGTAGTCGACAGGGAACTTGAGGCGGGCCTGCGGGGCAGAGGGCAGGCAGCTCAGCAGAGCCCGGGCAGGGCCAGGGTGTCCGAGGTCGGCGACTCAGGCCGGCGACACGCCCGGAAGGGCTGGGTGGCTGAGGGGAAAGCGAGAGGACGTGGGGCCTACGGGGACCCCTGTGGTCAGGACCGGTCCAAGACTGGCTGCCCTGGGGGCCTTGCGGGAGTCACTGAGCTGATCCCAGCCCCAGTCCAGGTGGCCAGGCCGGGCCAGGAGCAGCTGCTGGCACCATGAGCACTTACACCGGAGCAGCTCCCGGCCCTTGCCACCTGGGTAGGATGCATGGGACCTGGGTCAGGGGGCCCCTGCAGATGGCGGGATGGATGATGGGGCCCGGGCCGCCTGGATGGAACCGTGGGCCTCGGTGTCCAGGCTGTGAGTGGGCTGGGACGGATGCTGGCATGGGCCAGGCACCGGGGGGAAGCAGCCTCCACCCTCGGGCGTCCAGGAGACCAAGCCAGCAGCCCCACGGCCACAGACGTCAGCAAGCCCTGAGGCCTGTGCCAGAGGCCCTGTCTTGCAGGCTAGGGTGGGTCCAAGCCATCTGCAGGGTAGTGCTGTGCCTGTGGCTGGGCCTCGGCACCACCCTCCGGGCTGGCAGCAGGTGAACAAGGAGGCCTGGCCACGTGCCTGGTGAGCCCCAGTGCTGGGCACGGGTGTCGGCCAAGGCTGTCTGCGCTGCAGCCTCCTGAAGGCTGGGAGGGGCCTTGGGGGGCTGGAGAGGCCACTTGCCTGCGGCCACTCGGCAAACCTAGAGCTGGGCTCTCCGAGCCTCCCACGGGGCTCCAAGGGTGACCCGAGAGCAGCCAAGACCGCGACAGCTGGGTGGGGAGCGCGGCCGCACCTGAGCCGCGTCCCCAGCCCGTGTCCCTCGCCTTAAGCGGTCCTCGCAGGGTCTCGCTGCTGAGGCTCGGAAAAGGAAAGCCCCCTGCCCGGAGACACACAGCAGACAGGCCGAGGAGGGTCTCCGAGACGCCCCCCGCGCCGCCCGGGCCTGCCGGCTGCCTCGAAGGCTCAACTGCGCTCCACGCCCACATCCAGACACCCTGGGACGGGAGGGCGCCGGGGGTGGCACAGCCGCCCGGGGCCTCACACTGGCTCTGGGGACAGCCCCTGGCAGCTGCGACCGAGGTCGGCAGGCGCCCCGCCAGCCCGACCTTCTCCAGGAAAACCGGATTACCGCCCTAATGCCCGCCGGGGAGGCCCTACCCACAACCCCGCGCAGCCGCGTGGCGGCAGAGGCCAGAAAC